AGCATTTTGACACGATTTTTCGCCGTCAAATTTTACCTCCACTGCGCATCTCAATCAATCACTCAAATTCGCGTGCAGTCGCTGTCGAGACGGTGCTTGTATTTCAAAACGACCGAAAGTGAAGTGAAACTTATGGTCTACGGTCACAGCTCTTCTGTAACACAGAAAGTTATTGAGTAAAACTTCCATAGGAGCCGATAGAAAAAGAGGAACAAGAACAGCTGCCTTTGTGCCTTCTCCGAAACTGCCATGCGATATAGTATATTTACTTATCTAATCAATATACATGTGAAAATCATATAATGACATATGATAGAATATTATATTTGCATATGGTATTGCAAGAGATACAGATCAATGCATATGCGTACGCATTATTATCATATGAACTATCATATCATATAGCAGCATCTGAGTTGTATATCCTACAAAAAGCATATAACGTAGTACTGCATTCCCCTGTAGTTGAACGCCATATGTTATATAGTATATACGTACCATATGCTACTGTATGCAAACGTAGTATCATCATATCAACTATATTAACTAATATATCATATATATATAGCTGTATACGATATGCATACCTTAGAGTAGCATTTGATGTAGTACTACATTCGCATATAGTGGAGCATGATATGCATATTCAACTGCAGTATGTACGAATGCAGTAGTACGTTGTATTGTGGTGATGACCTGCCTCTTCTACAACAGCATATGATACGTTGCCAGCTTTGCGTGGAGTAAAATATATACATCAGGAGCAAATATTGGCGTTGATGTATATGGCATGTGCATCTTCTATTGGTATAGGATATATATATTTTCTGTCAGCATATGATACAGTACTAAACGTATATGTAGTACTATGGAACTTTTGGCTTGTGCGTTATTACTCGTACTGAAAAACAGCAAAAGAAACAGATTATGATGATTCACCGATGCTGATGTTTCGCCCGTATGCAATTGGTCTTTTTCAAAGCTAGTTTGTGGAGGAAGTTGGAAAATGGCAGATGTCTAGAACAAAGGATAGATTGGTGCATGATGAAATTCGATGAAAATCTACTGTCAACTATCAGAGCTGTTGACTGAGTTACGTTAAATGGTTTATCATAAGCGCAGGATTGATCGAGATGGACTAATAGGCGTTTACGGGATCACTGTAGACTGGAACCGTTGGGAATATCGCTTGCTGGTACGAACGTTGTCAAGATGTGCACATCCAACTCTGAAGACGGAATGACCATAAAAGGATGACTGCTCAGCGTGCATCGATCAGTGAGGAGGGTCAACGTGTCCTACACTTCAGTGACTCAACCCTCAACACTCAACCTCAGCTTCCGGTTGATAAAAAGCAGATTGCAGCGCGGTTTCAAAACTCTGAAAACAAAACTTCGCAGTCCGGTCGCGCACCTCTGTTTCGATGCCAAAACGCGAAAACCTGGCCCGTCTGTCGGTGGCAATTATGAAATGGCATTGATTGGCGTAAATAATAGCCAGCCGATGGCCGATTTCGTCCACTGGCCACGAAAAACCGTCGTATTTCAAGAATGAAAGTTTTTCGTTTCGACCCGACCAGCGAAATTAATGAACACTCGTTTGGAACGTAGACAAAAACTGCAACCAGATCATGGATATCTTCGAGCAGCACGCGGCAGACCATCGAACTTGCACGGAATGGTGGCTGTTTTCACAGTTTTGCCGACGAGCCGTCACGCATATCACGCGCTGATCGCTGTGTCAGTGAGGTCTGTGGAAACATCGGCTTGTGCCTCGTTCTTCGAGGCAACCCTGAGGTGATGGCATGGTGCCCGTGCCCACTTCCCGGTGCTCAGATATGACCTTGGACACTTAGTGTGCCAAAATCTGCCAACTTCCTCATGCCACTAGAGGCGAGCGATCTTGTCTGAGGTATTATAAGTGATGGTCGGGTGCCCTGACCTTGGTTAGGTATTTGAGCCCAGCGGTTTCACTCCAGCTATTCTGTCCGATCTCCGTGTCTGAATTTATTTCACGGGTTATAGTTTGTTTTGTGTACTGGTCAGCTATCACATGATCAAGGCGAAATGCAGACTCGACTCAAAGGACGTGAGCCGGATGACATGGTCGTACATCGTTCTGGTAGGGCTGCACCAAAGCACCATTATTCGGAGGTCAACGACCTGGCATCATTTGGTCGGCTCATTGCCCGAACCATAGTAGGGTGAGTTGTCTGCTCGAGAAATGTATGAGTTTAGTATGAAAACTTTGCGTCG